ACTCTTCCTCTTTCTTCTGTCCTTTTCCGCCCGCCTCTTGCCGCCAACCCTGGCCTCCTGCCTGCGCGTTCGTCGCATGCCTGCTTCTCGTTTCCCCTCTCCCTCTCCGTCGCCGTTCCGGCAAGGAGAGGTGGCGGCGCGGTGCTGGCTCGCTTCGCAGTGGCCAGATTGAAACGCCCTGGCTCTCAAGGCATGCTGGAGGTCATTTATCAACAAGTGGGCGGCGCGGATCGGCGCTGCCCCTCCTCCTCCTCCTCCTCCTCCTCCTCCTCCTCCTCCTCCTCCTCCTCCTCTCTCGTCCCTCTTGTCTCCTGCTCGTGCTCCTCCCTCCTCCTCGTCCTCCTCCTCCTCGTCGTCCTCCTCCTCCACCTCTTCCACCTCCTCCTCCTCCTCCTCCTCCTCCTCCTCCTCCTCCTGTTCCTCTTTCTCCTCCCGGCGCGCGCGCGCGCGATCTCCCCGGCGGCGCAGTCTGAGCCCTGGGCACGACGTGGGCGGACGCCTTGTTCGTACCCTCCACCGCCCTGCGCGGAGTGGGAGGGGGCGCGCAGGGGAGCCGGGGGGGGGGAGTCCTCTGACGCCGCCTGGGGCCTTCTCGCCGCCACGGCCGGGTCCGCGTCGAGCACGCGGGGCAGGATGGACCCCCTGAGGGGTCCGGGGGCCGACTCTGATCAGAGCTGGGCCGCTCGGAAGCTCGGCTGTTGTCCCAACTGGCCCCGTTCTTAAGTCGGGCATGTCCCCCGACAGGGGGATTTTGGACGACAAATACAAAATACACCCAAAGTACTCCAAAATGGTCAAACACAGTCAAGCAATCGTCCCCAGACTATTTGTGTACTGCTTCTGAGGATTCCTCCTGTAGAGGGGCAGGCCCGACGTAACCCTCTTCCGCAAGGGCCCCGCCCTCCCCTCCCCCCCCCAGGAGAGGGCGTGGATGATGAGGAGCACGAGGCTCAGGAACATTCGACTGCGACGGTGTCGATGAAGCCCTGCGCAGGCGTTGGGCCGCCCAGCGCCCAGCAGCCCGCCGCCCATCGTCCGGCGGCCGCTTCGTCGGGCTGTGCGCCGGCGCTCGGCACGGAGGCTCAGCAGCCTCTCTTGCCCTTGCAGAGGGCGGGCAGGAAGTCCAACCCCAAAAGGGAGCACCCCGACGAGCGCAGCCGCGTCGTTGAACGCCCCCGTGGAAGGACTCGAACAGGGCAAGGCTGTTTCTTAAACGCTCAGGGGCGCTAACTATCGGGGTCGGAGGAGAAGGAGGAGGAGAAGGAGGAGGGGGAGGAGGAGGAGCAGGAGGAGGAGGAGGAGGAGGAGGAGGAGGAGGAGGAGGGTAGGAGGAGGAAGAGGAGGAGGAGCAGGAGGAGCAGAAGGAGGAGCAGGAAAACCAGGAGCAGGAGGAGGAGGAGGAGGAGCAGGAAGTTTCAGGATGGAGGATCGGGGTTTCTGGGCCTTGGGGCGGGGGGGAAAAGGGCACGGCGAAGAACGGACGGACGCGCGAAGAATATTCTTCTGGCCGCGCAGCCGGCCGACGAGGATCGCGCGGCAGCCGCCGAGGAAGATTCTCCTCCTCCTCCTTCTCCTCCTCCTTGTATACCGAACTCTATACACCGACGCTTTTTCCGGCCCTGCACTGACAGTTGCATAGCAAAGCGGATCCTGGTGTACACGGGACCCTGGTATGCATGTTTCGTGGCTTCCCCAGAAGATGGACCGAACAAGTATACACCACACCACCCCGACGTCGCCCCCGACCCTCAAAAAGTCATGGGATTGAAAAACAGCCCGCCACTGGTAACGTAGATGTTCCAATCTTCGACCTTGGCCCACTCCACGTGGGCTTCGTGGCCTGCAGCCCGAGCTCGAGTGCTGCACGCCCCCGGCAAGGGTGTTCTAGTAGTACCCGCTCGCGGATCTTGATTCCCGAGTCCTCCTCCGCCTCCTCCTCCAATTCCTCCTCCTCCCTCCCTCCCTCCCTCCCTTCGCCCTCCTCCCTCCTTCCTCTTCCCTCCTCCTCCCCTCCTTCCTCACTCCCCCCTCTTCCTTCCTCTCTCCTCCTGCCACCCTCCGCCTCTCATTTCCCCCTCCCTCTTCTGATGATTGTTATGTTTTTTTCTCATCCTCCTCCTCCTCCTTCTTCTCCTACTATTCGCACTCCACCGCCGCCGCCAGTCGGGCGGTAGGAGGCGTCGTTTCCCTCGGCCGAAGGCAAGGACGCCAGGAGGGCTCTCGCGATTGGCCGCGCCACGCGATGCAGCGCGAGCGCGCATGCCACGGCGCGCATTCCAGACCGCAGGGGCGCGATCGTGACGGCGGACGTGCAGACTTGGCCAACCACGTTCGTTCGTTCTGCTTATTCCTCTCTGTTTCTCTCTTTCTCTCCTCGTATCGCCTCCATCCTCCACTGTCCTCCCTCTCCTGATCGACTGCAGACTCCGACGCTCTTTGATCCTCTCTGATGCTCATCCCCCGCCTGCTGGTCTTCGATCCTCAGTTGCCTCCCCTTCCTCCTAGATTCTTCTCTATCCTCGATGCTCGTCCCTCCCTCCTCGTTCTCCTCGCCTCACCTCGCTCTCCTCGTCCTCCTCGTCTCTCCTCCTTCTGCTCCTCATGTGCTCCTCTCTTTCCTTCCTCCTCGCGTCGCTTCCCCTCGATCACTTACCTATACGACCACCCTTCGGGTGATATGGAGGTTCGGGGGGGGGGAGGGCGAACCAACGTATCGTTCAATCGATCTCACGTCGATCGAACTCGCGATCTCACAACAGATCCCACTATCGATATCAACATCTCTCTCTCTCTATCGATCCCACAACAGATCTGAGTATCGATCCCCCGAGAGATCTCACAATAGACCTGACAATCGCATCCACTATCGACCTCACATTCGGACTCACGATCGATCTCACAACAGCTCTCGCTATCGATCTCACCGTCGATCTCAGCGCCGCACCACCGAGGGCACACCCCGCGCAACCGATGGGACACCCCGCGCCACCGACGTGACACCGCCGCGCCACCGTCGGGACACCGACGGGACACCGCCGCGCCACCGAAGGGACACCCCTGGCTATCGCGCGCTGGGTGGGGGGTGGGGGGACAACTGGCTCCACAGCCCCTAGCCACGGCGGCATCGTTCCTCTCGCGCGCCCACGCAACTTCGCCTCGCCCGCACGCACGTTAAGACCACGAAGCCGAGACCGATTTCCCGGTGGGGAGCTCTCCGTTCCACTGCGATCTCACCCCGTCACCTCCGATCACCTATACGACTACCCTTCGGGTGCTAAGGAGGTTTGGGGGGGAAGGAAAACCCACAGACGACAACTGCGATGGCTGTGATGGCGGTCAGTAGATGGCGCCATCGATCTCACGAATTTCACAATCGATCTCACCATCGATCTCACTATCGCTCTCGCGCCACCGACGGGGCACCGACGCGCCACGGCACACCCCTGGCCACCGCGTGCCGTTGGGGGTGGGGGGGGCATTGGGGGGGTGGGGCGGACACCCGGCTCCACAGCCCGTAGCCATGGCGGCATCATTCCTCTCGCGCGCCCACGCAGCTGCGCCTCGCCCGCACGCACGACACGACCACGAAACCGAGACCGATTTCCCGGTGGGGGGCTCTCCGTTCTCACTGCGAAGCGATCCTCTTTTGCTCGTCCTCCAGCTGTTCCCATTCTCTCTTGCTCGTCCTCCACTACTACGCCTCGATACTTCATTGTGCCACCTTCCCCCCTCTTATTCACAAGCGCCTCCTTCTTCCCTACCTCTCCCTTAATCCTTCCCCTTCTCATCTCTTCCTCCTCGGCCCACACGCCTCACCATCAACATCATCGATTCCCCCCTCCCTTCCCCGCCTGCCTTCCTTATCCCTCCCATCCTCTTCCGCAGATGCTGTCCTGTCTTCTGCTTCCCCTCCCCCTCCATCTCCACACTGTCATGCCCTTCTCCTTCTTCCTCCCGTCTCTGCCCCCGCCCGCTCTCAACTGATTAACCAAGAAAAAGACCCCTAACCCGTTGGGCGGGCACCTAAGTTAGGAGGGCCAAACACATCAGGGACAGGAGCTCTTCTCTGCAGATGTATCGAACCAAACCGCCCAGATTTTAGTGTCCCCAGTGCAAAGGCGGTGACCTTAGGGAGGCCGCGTCTTCACTGTGAGATTAGGGCTTCTAGTTTTTTCACAACCATCCTGTGGTGTTGGGTCCTCGTTTTGAAGAGACGGTGCCCCGCGTTCCCGCCTCCTTCCTCCCTCCCTCCTGCTCCTCTCCTCCCGTCATCATCATCATCGTCATCATCATCACCATCGTCGTCGTCATCGCCATCGTCATCGTCGTCGTCGTCATCATCGTCATCATCACCATCATCGCCATCATCATCGCCGTTATCGCCACCATCATCATCATCGTCATCCTCCTAATCATCATCGTCAGCATCATCATCATAATCATCATCATCATAATCATCATCATCCTCCGCATCATCACCATCACCATCACCATCACCATTACCATCATCATCATCATCATCATCATCATCATCATCATCATCATCATCATCAGCATCAGCATCAGCATCATCATCATCATCATCATCACCATCATCATCATCATCATCACCACCACCACCACCATCATCATCATCATCATCATCATCATCATCATCATCATCATCATCATCATCATCATCATCATCATCATCATCATCATCATCATCATCATCATCATCATCATCATCATTCATCATCATTCATCATCATCATCCAGCATGCCCCTGCACCCATTTCGGCACACCCCTCACACGTTTCGTGGCCCCACAGGGAGCTCCACCGAACGCCCCAGTGGCTGCGCTCGCATGCGGTTCCACCGCTATTTCGGCACACCCCTCGTACGTTTCGTGGCCCACAAGGGAGCTTCACCGAAGGCCCCAGTGGCTGCGCTCGCATGCGGTTCCACCCCCCATTCTCGCACACCCCTCACACGTTTCGTGGCCCCATAGGGAGCTCCACCGAACGCCCCAGTGGCTGCGCTCGCATGCGGTTCCACCCCCCATTCGGCACACCCCTCACACGTTTCGTGGCCCCATAGGGAGCTCCACCGAACGCCCCAGTGGCTGCGCTCGCATGCGGTTCCCCCCCCCATTTCGGCACACCCCTCACACGTTTCGTGGCCCCACAGGGAGCTCCACCGAAGGCCCCAGTGGCTGCGCTCGCATGCGGTTCCACCCCTCATTTCGGCACACCCCTCACACGTTTCGTGGCCCCATAGGGAGCTCCACCGAACGCCCCAGTGGCTGCGCTCGCATGCGGTTCCACCCCCATTCTCGCACACCCCCTCACACGTTTCGTGGCCCCATAGGGAGCTCCACCGAACGCCCCAGGGCTGCGCCGCATGCGGTTCCCCATCCCCCATTTCGGCACACCCCTCACACGTTTCGTGGCCCCATAGGGAGCTCCACCGAAGGCCCCAGGTCTGCGCTCGCATGCGGTTCCCGCTTTTCGGCACACCCTCACACGTTTCGTGGCCCCACAGGGAGCTCCACGAACGCCCCAGTGGCTGCGCTCGCATGCGTTCCACCCCCCCATTTCGGCACACCCCTCACACGTTTCGTGGCCCCATAGGGAGCTCCACCGAAGGCCCCAGTGGCTGCGCCCGCATGCGGTTCCACCCCCAATTCTGGCACACCCCTCACACGTTTCGTGGCCCCATAGGGAGCTCCACCGAAGGCCCCAGTGGCTGCGCTCGCATGCGGTTCCACCCCTCATTCTGGCACACCCCTCACACGTTTCGTGGCTCCATAGGGAGCTCCACCGAACGCCCCAGTGGCTGCGCTCGCATGCGGTTCCACCCCCCATTCTCGCACACCCCTCACACGTTTCGTGGCCCCATAGGGAGCTCCACCGAACGCCCCAGTGGCTGCGCTCGCATGCGGTTCCACCCCCCCATTTCGGCACACCCCTCACTCGTTTCGTGGCCCCATAGAGAGCTCCACCGAAGGCCCCAGCGTCTGCGCTCGCATGCGGTTCCACCCCTCTTTTCGGCACACCCCTCACACGTTTCGTGGCCCCATAGGGAGCGCCACCGAGGAATATATCCACACTTGCGGTATTCACAACTACGTATGGTTGGGTCTTTCGTCAGGCTAATTTTTTCTGTGCTCACTCCTGCGGCTCCTTCCTCCCCCCTCCGTTTCCCACCTGCACCTCCTGCGCCGAATGTGGCTTCCCAACCGCCGCGGCTCGCTGGAGCGACGGGGTCGGTGCGGCTGCTGGCCCCTGGGCCCTCCGCGCCCTCGAAATACTCTACGACGAGGCCAGGAGGAGGATCAATCTGGGTTGCGGACGAATCGAGAATCTCTGAAACCTTCCTCGTGGCCCACAAGGGGGTACAGCTGAAAGGGGGTGGTGCAATAGATTTGGGGCACCTGTGCTGCAGATGTATGGCGCCAGAGAAGTGTACTGCATTCCATGGCAGCTGATGTATTGCACGCGAAAGCCAAGCAATACATTTGCGCACCGGATTGTATTGCACACCCCAAATCTCTTGCAACCCCACAAATCTATTGCACCAAATCTATTGCACCATCCCCTTTTTGCTGGACTCTTTTTTGGGTTTCTCAAATATCTGGCAATTCTGGAGAATGTCTCGGAGGCCGCGGCCTTCTCGGAGCGCGCCGGAACGTTCCGAGAGCGTGCCGGAACACTCTGGGACGGATCTACCCTCGCCCTAGTTCCGCCCGATTTTTCCCCCTCTGCTGCCTACCTTCGACTGCGGCGACGCCCACCCCCGGTCAACTCCGCTCAACGCCGGCGCCCAGATCCCTGGCGGGGCCAAGCCTAGCCAGATGTGCGAGCCTCGTCCAGCCATGATGACGAGCGGGGGGCACCGTGGCTCGTCGTAGCTCCGTCCGACGGAAAGCCCACCAAAAAAGACCCACAGGCCAGAAGCCGCCTTGGCCTGTTGCCGCCCAGGGGGCCCGCTCCTCTCGGCTCAGCTGCCCCGAGGCGCAACACGCAACACGCAGCGACATGGATGCTGGGCTGAGCACGTAGGCTGAACACGTAGGTCTGACACGATGCGTCCGTTCGCCAAGACGTGGGCCAATACGCTGAGCCAACACGCAACGTACTGTCACGGACGTTTCGAGCACGGCGCGCGTTGCGTTTCAAGACGGGCGTATCGAGGCAGCTAAGCCCCTTGGTGATTTTGTGGGCCCTGGCTCGCCTAAGAAGGTCGGCCAAACTCCCTTGGGCGCGCACTAAGATTTCGGTGCGGGGTCCGGCCGTGACAACGAGGAGCCCCGCGGAAGGTCCGTACGCAGTTCGGCCGAGCAAGCTCGCGGGGGCCCGCGACGCGCGCGCCCGCCCTGTTCTCCGGCTGGGCCGCAAATGCTCGGACCTGCCCATCCTCCCAGACCTCCGACGTCGTGACTTTTTCGCAACGTCGATCCCCAAAGGTCAGGACCCCTTCCCCGGGACCGGGTTTCTACCCTTTGGGCGCCTCAAATGGGTACGAAAACAACGGGTACGATACCCAACAACAAATGTTGTCCCAAACCGACATCGGCCGCTGTTGGGCAGACGGCCCTCTGTCTCACGTAACGGCACCAACAACGAATCCTGCTCAGAATGAGACGGGCACGCTGAGCCGGACTTTGCCCCCATGGCTTCCGTAAGCGCGTCGACCGCCCCGATCTCCTGCGTAGGGTTTTTCCCTACCTAGGCTCTGCCTAGAAGGGTTCTTACTCTGTTAGCTAAAGGGGCCGGGCAATGCTAATCGCCCCGGGCGGTTCCCCCAGTCCCCGCCCCGCGGTTCCCCCAGTCCCCTGGGAGCTTTAGCCTTAGCTTTAGCTTTAGCTTAGCTTCAGCTTTAGCTTTAGCTTAGCTTTAGCTTAGCTTTAGCTTAGCTTCAGCTTAGTGTTAGCTTAGCTTTAGCTTAGCTTTAGCTTAGCTTTAGCTTAGATTTAGCTTAGCTTTAGCTTAGCTTTAGCTTAGCTTCAGCTTAGTGTTAGCTTAGCTTTAGCTTAGCTTTAGCTTAGCTTCAGCTTAGCTTTAGCTCAGCTGTAGCTTAGCTTTAGCTTAGCTTTAGCTGAGCTTTAGCTTAGCTTCAGCTTAGCCTCAGCTTAGCTTTAGCTTAGCTTTAGCTTAGCTTCAGCTTAGCTTTAGCTTAGCTTCAGCTTAGCTTTAGCTTAGCTTTAGCTTAGCTTCAGCTTAGCTTTAGCTTTAGCTTAGCTTTAGCTTAGCTTCATCTTAGCTTCATCTTAGCTTTAGCTTAGCTTTAGCTTAGTGTTAGCTTAGCCTTAGCTTATATTTAGCTTAGCTTTATCTTAGCTTTAGCTTAGCTTTAGCTTAGCTTTGGCTTAGCTGTAGCTTAGCTTTAGCTTAGCTTTAGCTTAGCCTTAGCTTATCGACCATCTTAATGTTAGCTTAGATTTAGCTTAGCTTTAGCTTAGCTTTAGCTTAGCTTCAGCTTAGCTTTAGCTTAGCTTTAGCTTAGCTTTGGCTTAGCTGTAGCTTAGCTTTGGCTTAGCTTCAGCTTTATCATAGCTTCAGCTTAGCTTTAGCTTAGCTCCAGCTTAGCTTTAGCTTAGCCTCAGCTTAGCTTTAGCTTAGCCTTATCTTAGCTTTAGCTTAGCTTTCGCTTAGCTTCAGCTTAGCTTTAGCTTAGTTTTAGCTTAGCTTTAGCTTAGCTTTAGCTCAGCTTTAGTTGAGCTTTAGCTTTAGCTTTATCTTAGCTTTAGCTCAGCTTTCGCTTAGCTTCAGCTTAGTGTTAGCTTAGCTTCAGCTTAGCTTTAACTTAGTGTTAGCTTAGCCTTAGCTTAGCCTTAGCTTAGCTTTAGCTTAGCTTCAGCTTAGCTTTAGCTTAGCTTAAGCTTAGCTTTAGCCTTAGCTTTAGCTTTTACTACTAATGCTGCTTTCCTAGGGGCTCCAACTGCTAGGTAGGGCCGCACTGGGATAATTTGGGGCCGTCCCGAGGCCCGGCCAGGGCCCCCGGAGGCCGGACGCAGCGAGACGCCTCCCGCCGCGACGTTCCTTCACTGCGCGAGGGGGCGTCTGTTGGTGGCGCGCACAAGGGGTGGAGGGAGGGGAGAGGGCTTCTTAGAAGGAGGCTGCTTCTAAGGAGGCGCTGGCCTTACATCTATAGACAAGGCCCGCGCCTTTTGAGAAGCACGGGTGCTTCTAAGAAGCCTTCCCCCTCCCCCTACCCCCTTCTGCGCGCGACTGAGTCTGGCCGCCTCCCGTCCGCGGGGGGCCGCCCCGCCTGCTGCCGTCGGCCTTCAGCTGGAGGCCGCGGCCGCCCCGGCCGTCGATCGCCGACGGCGTCCGCCCCCAGGAGGGCCGGGGCTCCCCCGCCTGGCGCGACCTCGGACGTCGCCGCCGCCGCCGCCGCCGGGAGGCAGCGGGGGAAGGATCGGGGAGGGGCGGGAGAGGGAGGAGGGGGAGGGGGAGGAGGACAAGCTAGGTGCGCTCGCGTCATATCTGACGTCCTACCCCTCCCTCCCATCCCTTACCATGGCGCTGATTTTCTCTATCCGCGGACGCGTGTCGTAGCGGACCTGTGGCTCCGCGCGCGCGTGCGTAGTGGGTGGTGGTGCGCGTGCGTGCGTGCGTGCGTGCGTGCGTGTGTGCGTGGTTGTGGTGGTGGTGGTGGTGGTGGTGGTGGGTGGTTGGTGGTTGTGGTGGTGGTGGTGGTGGTGGTGGTGGTGTGGTGCGGCGCGGTGGTGGCGGGCGGATGGGCGCGCGAGAAAGAGGCCCGCGCTGGGGCGAGAACGCCATCCTGAACGACGGAGGCCAAACACCGATCCGAAAATGAGGCCCACGCTGCAGCGGGAGCACGATTCGGAACGATTCGGGAGCAGAAATGAGGCCGGCGCCTCAGCGAGAGCAGCATTTTTGAAAAAGCATGCGAAAACCCGTTTCCCGGGAATCCTGTGTGTAAAAAACAGTACGCGGGGGGGTGTCGGATATCTTCGGGACGCCATCAGGGGAAGTGGGAGAGTATTTTCATATTGTGTAATTGTAGAGGAGGAGGAGGAGGAGAGGAGGAGGAGGAGGAGAGGAGGAGGAGGAGGAGGAGGAGGAGGAGGAGGAGGAGGAGGAGGAGGAAAGAGGAGGAGAAGGAAGAGGAGGAGGAAGGAGGAGGAAGGAGGAGGAGGAGGAGGAGGAGGAGCGAGGACGAGTATGATGATGAGGAACAAGGACAAGCTAGGTGCGCTCGCGACACATCCGACATCTGATCCCTCCCTCCAATCCCTTACCATTGAACTGATTTTCCCTGACCGCAAACTCGTGTCATATCTGACCTGCAACAAGAACAAACAGACCACATCGTGTTATGCGTAATCGGGAGAGGGGAGCTGCGCGCACATGCTGAGGATGAGGAGGTGTGGATGATTAACAAGAGGATGAGCGGGATGAAAAGGACGAGGACGAACAGCAGCAGCAGTAACTGGAGTGGAACGGGCGGGAGGAGCAGGAGGACCCAGGGAAGGCGGAGGAGGGGAAATGAATGGGGCGACAACGATGAAGAAAGACTCGGATTCAGAGAAGTGGCCCGCGCTGGGGCGAGAGCGCCAATCTGAACGATGGGAGCACAACGCCGATCCGAAAATGAGGCCCACGCTGCAGCGGGAACACCATCTTGAAGCACCGGCAGCAACCGGATTGCAGAACGCCAGGAACCAAGCAGTGACATCTTGTGTCTAAAAAGCAGCCCGCGGAGAAGGCCTCCTATCTTCCGGACGGAATCAGGGGACACAGGAGAACAGTTTCATATCATTGTTTCATTGTGGAGGGGGGAAGGCTGGGGAAAAATGCACTAGGTGCGCCAATCGACCCAGACGCGCCAGGGGGTGCCAGGTGCGCCACGTGCGAGTTTTCGGCTTCCACTGACGTGGACTAGGCTCCGCTCTTCGCGGATTCCCTTTGCATATGGAGCTGTTCCCTCACATAATCAATTTGGATGGCGAATAAGGGGCGGAAATGATCCCATCCCCCCCCGGCAGATATTAGGTGGCTTTTATCACTACTCTACCGAAATTCCCTACATAAGGACGTGGAAGGCTTTGTGGGATCAACGGGCTTTATATTAGCAATTTGAGTGAAAGGCCCATGGGAGGGGAGAACGACGACTGTGATATTGATGCTGTTGTTGTTGGTGGCGATGATGATGCTGATGCTGATGGTAATTCTCATGATGCTACTGATGATATGCTGCTGCTGCTGCTGCTGATGATGATGATGATGATAATGATGATGATGATGATTATGATGATGCAGATGATGGCGATGCTTAGGATGCTGATGATGATGATGGTTATGCTTACTCCCCAATCAGAGCTTGCATCTGTAGGGGTCCTAGCGGATTCATATGGTTAAGTGAACTTTGCCGCCGATTTCAATGGCCCGCCCGGGTGCCCGGGTGCCCGTGTGCCCGGGTGCCCAGGTGCCTGGGTGCCCGGGTGCCTTGTGGCCCTATAGCCCTTTAGCCCTATGGCCCTATAACCCAATAGCCCCAGAGCGCGATAGCCCTATAGCCCAATAACCCTATAGCCCCATTGCTTCAAAGCCTAATAGCCCTATAGCCTTAGAGCCCTACAGCTCTATAGCCCTATAGCCATATAACCCTATAGCCCTATAGCCCTATAACCGTATAGTCCTGTCGCCCTATAGCCCAATAACCCTATAGCCCCATAACCCGATAGCCATATAGCCCTATAGCCCAATGCCCCTATATACGTATAGCCCTATAGCCTTATTGTCTTATAGCCTGATGGCCCTATAGCTCTATAGCCCCATAGCTCTATATGCCTATAGCCCTATAGCCCCATAGACCTATGTCCCTATAGCTCTGTATGCCTATAACCCTATAGCCCCATAGCCCCATATACTCATAGCTCTATGGCCCTATAGCCCTATAGCCCCATAGCCCTTTAGCCCTATAGCCCTATGACCCTATAGCCCTATGGCCCTATAGACCTATAGACCTATAGCCCTATGGCCCGATAGCCCTATAGCCCCATAACCCTATAACCCCATTGCCTCATCGCCCTATGGCCCAATGGCCCTCATGGCCCTATAGCCCTAAACAAGACTTAGATGGGGTTGTCTCCAGAATCTAATTATTAATAATCTGTTGATGCTGCTGCTGATGATGCTGGTGTTGATTATGATGATGATGATGGTGCTTCTGCTGATGATAGCGATGAGGATGATGGTGATGATGATGGCGGGCGACTGCGATGATGTAGGCGTGCATGGCGCCGGTGCCTTTCGTGCGCGTGGGTCGGGAAGCGAAAGCTAAGTGACCAAGGGCTCCTCCAAACATCGCGCGTGACATGGCGGCCCGGTGCCCTCCTCGGTCAGGGACCTCCCTGGAGGGATGGGAGGGGTACGGAACCGTGTAAATAACATGGTATCCCGATGCCCTCCTCACTCTGGCGGGGCCTCCGTGAGTGTTGGGGGGGGGGCACGAAACCGTGTAAATGGCATGGTGGCCAGGCACCCTCCTCCTCGCTCTGGCGCGGCCTCCCTGGAACCTCCTCCCTGGCGCGCGGAGCGCGCCGGGGGCGACGGGAGTCCTCATGATCAGAAGTGCGGGGCGTGGGCCCGCTTTGCCCCCCTTGGTCCATTTGTGGTGGCACATGGATACTTAAGTGTAAGTCTCCGCTGTGGTGATGACGGGAGTCCTTATGATCAGAGGTGCAGGGCGTGAGCATGCTTCGCTCCCCTTCCGGGGAACAATACATCGGTCTCGTGTTTCCCAGTCCACCATCGTCCCTATCCCCCACAGGATTGTCGAACGGGTCAGAAGAAATACAATCAACCCGTATCAGAAGGATGCGCGGCAAGGATGCAAGGACCTTGGAGAGACACGTTCGCATTTTTCGAACGAGGTTGGCCAGGAAGAGTAGCTAAATCCGCCGATCTGGCGTGTGAGCTTCTGAGAGCGTGGACTTGAGCTCGCTCAAGCTTTGCTCTGCAAGGGGGGGCGGACGCCATTCCCATCGCCATTCAGTGCTCGGGAGCCGGAGGGGGGAGGGTTCACTCTGCAAGGGGGGGGTGGACGAGTGCTCGGGGGCGGGGGGGGGGTTCGCTCTGCAAGGGGGATGGGGGGGGGACGCCATTCTCGATGCCATTCAGAGCTCGGGAGCCGGAAGGGGGAGGGTTCGCTCAAGGGGAGGGGGGGGGACGCCATTCCCGGCCCCATGCAGTGCTCGGGGGCGGGGGGGCTTCGCTTCCGACGGTCCGAGAGGCCCCCGAGACCGTGTCAAGACGGCTCAAGAGGCTCCCAAGACGACCCCAAAACGGCCCAAGAGGGCGCCCTCCACTTCCTCGTCCTCCTCCTCCTCCTCCTCCTCGTCCTCCTCGTCCTCCTCCTCCTCCTCCTCCTCCTCCTCCTCCTCCTTCCTCCTCATGCTCGTTCCTCTCTGCTCCTCCTCCTTCACCTCTCCCTCCTCCCTCATTCCGCCCTCCCTCCCCTCCTCCCCTCCTCCTTTCTCCCTCTTCCCTCCTCCCTCCTCCCCCCTACCTCTTGCCTCCTCCTTCCTCCCTCCTCCCTCGTCCTCCCTCCTGCATCCTCTTCCTCCCTACTCACACAACCCCCAAACAGCCCCAGGACGGTCCCTTATGAGCTCCACAAGATGTGGAGACACAAGACGCAGCATATGATGGCCTACCTCTTCCTCTTCAGCATCTTCATCATGACCGTCGTCATCAACATTCCCACCACCATTGTCATGGTCAACGTCCTCCTCCTCCTCCTCCTCCTCCTCATCATCATCATCATCAACATCATCATCAACATCATCATCAGGATCATCAACACCATCACAATCACCATCGCCGTCCTCACCAACTGCATCATCCTTAGTACCCTGAGAACTCACATCCTCAACATTAACACCAACGTCATCATTATTATAAGCATCGTTGTGGGCATACCGCTGTATTCATCACAACCACCGTCACCATCACCAGCATCACGATCCTGAGTATCGTCGTCGACATCACCATCTTCATGCTCTTCACCATGTCCATTACCATGACAATCGTTATTCAACACATCACCCTCATCACCAACAATATCAGCATCAGCATCAGCATCAGCATCATCAGCATCATCAGCATCATCAGCATCAGCATCAGCATCAGCATCAGCATCAGCATCATCAGCATCATCATCATCAGCATCATCAGCATCAGCATCAGCATCAGCATCATCATCATCATCATCATCATCATCATCATCATCATCATCATCATCATCATCATCATCATCATCATCATCATCATCATCATCATCATCATCATCATCCGGAACGCCCTGGATCGGCGGCACTGGCCGGATGCCAACACAATATTGGCCGAAGGGGCGAGGATGCAAGGGTACCCTTGGGAAGGCTGCCCATCCGTACCATGCGGGTTGACTGTGGGATGATGGTGATGTTGACCTTCCTTGCCTCAGAAGTGCCAGTCCTCTCCCCTTGCGGGGGAGGTGGGCAGGCCTTCCCCCCGGTCTCACGCACTTGTTTCTTGTGCGAAAGGAGGGGAGGGGCGCCCTCCCGCGAGCCCATTCTTGGGCCTCCAGCGCCGTAGTTGGCTCCGTTTGTGTGTGTGTGTGTGTGTGTGTGTGTGTGTGTGTGTGTGTGAGAGAGTGTTTGTGTTTGTGTGTGTGTGTATGTTTGTGTGTGTGTGTGTGTGTGTGTGTGTGCGTGTGCGTGTGCGTGTGCGTGCGTGTGCGTGCGTGCGTGCGTGCGTGTGTGTGCACCCAGGGCCGCGCGCTGACGAGCCCACGACCCCGTCGACTGCTGCGCGCTCGTCGTGCGCTCGGGAGCTGTGGGACAGCGTGTCGCCGCGGCGGCCTCGGCGACACGCCATGCCTTGCGTGTGGACAACGTGCCGCTCCGCTCCGCGGGACGGGGAGCTCGGAAACGCTCAGGGCTCTGACGCCTTGGGGCCGCGACGCAGACAGCGCGTCGAGCCGAGGCGTGGTGGGTCAGAGCCGGCGGAGCGGCACTCTGTACAGCAAGTCCCGGCCGTACTCGCTTGCCGTATCCCCAGCGAGCCACCAACACTTGGAGGTCCCTTGGGGGGCAGCATTGTTTCCAAGGCCAGATCCCAATACGCTCAGCCGGCGCGCTTGATCCGTCAATAACAATCCTTACGACACCCATTCGCGACAAGTTCGGCCCTTGGGCTTGATTGGGCTGCTCAGGTTTGCTCTCACCCTACGAGCATTGCCTCCTCCTCCGCCGCCCCAGAAACACAGATCGCGCTCGCTGCCCCTCAGCGAGCTGAAAGCCAAGGCCCTCAATTGGAGGCGGCCGGGGGAGCTGAACTTGTTGGGGCCCCGGGGAGCTCGGTCGGGGGGCGCTGCTCTCTCCAGCGCCGAAGCGCGGCGCCTGGCGGCGGAAGCGCGGCGCCCGGCGGCGGAAGCGCCCCAGGTGCACCCAAAGGGCGCGCGCGCGAAGAAGCGGCGATGCGCGAAGATGAGCCCGAAGTGCAGGCGTCGCCCTGGAGGAGGAGGAGGAGGAGGAGGAGGAGGAGGAGGAGGAGGAGGAGGAGGAGGAGGAGGAGGAGGAGGAGGAGGAGGGGGAGGGGGAGGTGGAGGGAGGTGGAGGAGGGGGGAGGGGGAGGAAGGGAGGAGGAGGCAGGAGGAGGAGGAGGAGGAGGAGTTGGAGGAGGAGGCGGAGGAGGAGGAGGAAGATGCCAAATTCGCTCAAAATCGGTCCCAGGACCCCTGCTGGGGCCCATATGGTGCAACTTATTACCCGGGATCCGTCTTGCACCATCCCTGGGCCCGAACACGGCCCCGGGCCCAAGCACCTCGAACCCAGCACCTCGAACCCCGCTCGCCCTTCCTGCTGGCGGAGCCAACATTGGGCCACCACCTCCTCCTCCTCCTCCTTCTTTCCCCTCCTCCTGCTCCCCCTCCTGCTCCTCCTCCTCTTCCTCCTTCTCCTCCTACTCCTCCTCATTTTCCTTCTTCTTCTTCTTATTCCCTACCTAGGCTCTGCCTAGAAGGGTTCTTACTCTCTATCTTAAAGGGGCCGGGCAGTGTTGCCCGCCCCGGGCGGTTCCCCCAGTCCCCGCCCCGCGGTTCCCCCAGTCCCCTGGGAGCTTTAGCTTTAGCTTAGCTTTACCTTAGCTTTCGCTTCGCTTTAACTTAGCTTTAGCTTAGCTTCACCTTCGATTTAGCTTAGCTTTAGCTTAGCGCTACCTTAGCTTTACCTTAGCTTCAGCTTAGCTTTAGCTGAGCTTCAGCTTAGCTTTAGCTTAGCTTTAGCTTTAGCTTAGCTTTACTGCTACTACCAATGCTGCTTTCCTAGGGGTTCCAACTCCCAGGTAGGGTCGCACTGGGATACTACTAATTATTATTATTCCTCCTCTTCCTCCTCCTCCTGCTCCTCCTGCAGCTGGTTCCAAACGCGATGCCAAAGTTACCAGCCGTACTCGTTTGTCGTATCTCGGCGGCGGGCACAAGGGGGGTATGGGGAGGGGGGGAAGGCTTCTCAGGAGGAGGCTGCTGCTCAGAAGGCGCGGGCCCTGCATCTGCAGACAAGGCCGAGCATCCCCCAGCAGCCCACGACAAGGCCCAAGCGTGGTAGTTGGGAGGAGGAGGAGGAGGAGGAGGAGGAGGAGGAGGAGGAGGAGGAGGAGGAGGAGGAAGAGGAGGAGGAGGAGGAGGATGAGGAGGAGGAGGAGGAGGAGGAGGAGGCGGAAGGAGGGGGAGGAGGGGAGGGGGAGGGGAGGAGGAGGAGGAGGAGGGGAGAGGAGGAGGAGGAGGAGGAGGAGGAGGAGGAGGAGGAGGAGGAGGAGGAGGAGGAGGAGAGGAGGAGGAGGAAGGAGGAGGAGGAGGAGGAGGGAGGAGGAGGGGGAGGGGGAGGGGGAGGGGGAGAGGGATGGGCCGGCGCGCACGAGCGTTGCAGGGGGGAGGGGGGGAAGTCTTCTCAGAAGGAGGCTGCCTCTCAGCAGGCGCGGGCCTGGCCCCTGCAGAAGAAGCCGGGCCTCCCCCAGCGGCCCACGACGAGGCCCTCACGACCCCCGTGGCGGCCCCCCGCCGTCGACGGCGACGGCGACGACGACGACAACGACGACGACGACGAGGACAATAACGACGACGACGACGACGACGACGACGACGACGACGACGACGACGACGACGACGACGACGACGACGACGCCCAGGCGGCGCCGCTCGGCGGCGACGCCCGGCGGCGGCTCCGCACCGAGGTCGAGGCATAGCGCCGCCGATGAGCATGTGGTCGCACCCTGTGTTGAGGAGGCGCGCGGGCGCGCACTCCGAGGAGGCCCGCGTGCTCGACCCTCGACCCTCGACCCTCGACCCTCGATGCTCGATGCTCGATGCTCGACCCTCGACCCTCGTCCCACAATGCCCGACCCTCGATGCTCGATCCTCCCTCGATGCTCGATGCTCGATCCTCGATGCTCGACCCTCGATGCTCGACTCTCGATGCTCGAACATCGAAGATCGAGCATCGAGGGTCGAGGATCGAGCGTCGAGGCAACCGCTGATCCCTCCTCCTCGGCCCCTGCTCCTGCTCCCGCCCGGGCGCCCTGCTCATGCTCCGGCCCGGCCTCCGACTCCGCCGCCCCTGCTGCCCCCTGCTCGCGCCCCCGTGCTCGCAAGGCTCGCTGCTCCTGACCCCCCTCCCTCCCCGGCCCTCCTGGTCCTCCTGGCCCCCCTCGTCCCCCGCCCGCCTGCCACTTCCTCCTCCGCCTCCTCCTCCTCCTCCTTGTTTTCCTCCTCCTCCTCGTTTTCCTCCTCCACCTCCTCTTCGTTTTCCTCCTCCTCCTCCTCCTCCTCGTTTTCCTCCTCCTCCTCGCTCTCCCTCTCTCCCCGCCGAACTCCAGACGCCATGACTCTCTCACGACGCCGGATAGACATGGGCACTGCCCTCTCCCCAGGATGAGGAGAAAGACGAGGAGGAGGTCGACGATGACATGATGGGTCGAGTACGAGGAACCGTGGGCGGTACCAACTGGTTGGCCACCACAGCTAGGTCAGACTGATCAACCGCGGCGAGCAACACACCCGCACGCGGCGAAGACAAGAACCCGAAAATGGCCTCGGAGGCGAACGTGGCGGTCAAGTAGGCCAAGGCGGTGGGCGCCCCGTCATCATCATCTGATCATCTGGAGCATCAAGCCAGAGGGCCAGCGGATCGCGGTTTCCACTGGCTCAAGTACGGACACCCCAAGGCGTGAGCGACACCAGAAGGGCTACCTGACCAGGGTCACGATGAAGGACCTAACTGCAGGACGTCGCGCTAGGATGTCGATGGTTCATTGGAGGAGCGTGAAGCACACTCGGAAAGCGCATCGCCCACAGCTGTGTGAGACGCAGCATGCAGCTGTGTGAGGGCGCGTGGGCCAAGGTCCTCGAGAGCACCCCGTGGGATCGGACTTCGACATGGTACTGCGTCGGCGTCGGTCGGCGCCGAAACCAGTACTTCGACTTCGAAACGAACAGGGGCGAACACACCGAGCTCCTGGGCCTTGAGCTCATGCGAATCATGTACTCCGAAGAACTACACGATAGCCAGGACAACGACCTGCCAGGCGATGACAAGAGATTGGCCGTGGAAGTGCCTACAATCGAAGAGCTCATGCGCATCGGACTCGGCCGTGCCAAAAGGCCTATACATGACCGCACTCCAGCAGATGCGGTACGCGTCGCGTCGTGTCGAGAAGGAAACGGTTGGTTACAATCCATGGAAGAAGGTGTCCTGAAATGCTGGTACTGTGATGCGCGAGAGGTGCTGCATCGATCCTGGGATGGGCGGCGAGTGAGCGGCGCGCTTGGAGCCCCGAGCTGCTGGCCCAGTGATCTGGCACAGGGCACGTGTGTGGAGGAGGAGGAGACTGATGATGACGACGACGACGACGACGACGACGACGACGACGACGACGATGATGATGATGATGATGATGATGATGATGATGATGATGATGATGATGATGATGATGATGATGATGATGATGAGGATGAGTGGTGACGATGATGATAATGATGACGGCGATTTGTTTGTTTTGTTGTTTTGTTTTTTCTCCCCCAAAGCAGATCCACTTCCCCTCGTTGGGGCTATACCCGTCCACAACAAACAACGATCGTGCTCGATTGGCCGGCCGGGTTAATGTCACCGCATTCTCGGCGATCGGCAAGCTCAACGAAAAGTGGCACGATCTAGTGACGATGATCATGGTAATGATGGTAGACTGGGTGGCAGTCCTCCGGACGCTTGGCACGAATACCAATCCGTTCGAATCCAGTGTGAAATACAAAGTGGACCACAGCGGGGGGCAGTCGGCGTAAGTGGGCACAGTCGTCCGCCGCAGGGCATTCAAACAGGCACTGGTGACGAGTTCCCTTATGCATCCTCGAACTGGTCGTCCACTCGCCCATTTAGTTCTTCAGGCACGAGGGCGAGATACGAATGCGATCCTTTCCCATCGTGGCAACTTGGGTGTCGTAGTCGATGCCATTGATGTAGCTGGTATGCTCCGGCCAGTGACGGTGCGCACGGGCCTTGAGCATGTCCCGAATGCTCGGCTGGAGCTTCATCTTTTTGAACATCAAATGGACACTCCTCTGACCACCTTTCTTCGAATCCAGTTTCTTGGTGGTCTCGTTGGCGGCGGCTGACATGGCCCTCTGAAGGTCGTTGGAGACGGGCACTGGCTGCTTCGTAGCGACGCGCTCGGGAAACCGTGCACATGCTGGCGTCTTCCAATATGGGGCCAACGGTGGTGATGATAATGGTGAAGATGATGAAGGTGGCGCTGCTGCTGATGATGACGATGCTGATGGTGATGACGATGGTGATGCTGCTGATGATGAAGAGGACGATGAAGGACTTAGGGATTGATGGCGGCCCACACAGCAGCGCATCGCTTCCGGCAAAAGGGAGGCGTACCCACCCGACTTGCCACCAGGCGACCTCCGAAGAGGTGCGCGTGCCGAAGACGGCCCCCGACTCCGCTTGGTGGAGTTGCAGCGCCAGCCACCGCCACAAATAGGCAGAGTCGGGTTCCGTCCCCGGCGGAGGCTTTCGGGAGGTACCACCCCCCTGAGCAGCCACGCGCACGCGGGTCAGCTCCTCCCGAACCTCCTTGTCGCTCGGCGCCGCCAGCGCCTGCTTGGCCACCAATACCATGAGATGGTCGAGCTTCAGCGCCTCCGCATCGACGCCCGCGCCCAGCAGGCCCTCAACGAAGGCCGACGTGAGGCTCTCCACCATCGCCTTGTCAACATCCCCGTCGTCGGCGCCCTCTGAAAGTCTGATCTGGCTGCTCTCATCCAGCGCCGCCGCTTCATTCTTGTTCTTCTTATCCTTCTTCTTGCCCACCATGGTGAACTACTGCCTAGGCCGAGCCTCCTCCGCATCCGTGTAGTCTTTCCCGTCGCTGAGATCCGTCCAGCACTTGCGCACCGAAGCCTTGCTGCTCACATCGCACTGGGGCCCCTCGCGATCGTCTTGATTTTCCCGGCCGTAAGGGCCCTGACGGCCAGAAACAAATACGTGCTGCATCTCCTCCTCATGCTGTCGCACGCAATTTTCCAGACACCTTGTGCCCGGTAGGGTCTCTGGTGCAACATGCACGGCCTTTTCGTTGTACTTGTCCACCGCTTGAGCTGCGCCACCGCCGCAGGGTACTCCATCTTGTTGTCCATGAGCTTCCGCCTTGCTCCCAGCCAGCCCGAGGGAGGACTCACGTGCTCCGTCACCTCCATGTCCTGCTCGGTCAGCTTCTTCTCGATGGTCGTCTAGTCCTTCCCGCTATGCGGCGCTACCGCTGGTTGCACGCAAAGAAAAAACAATCCAATCCATCATCTCGCCTTCGCCGAAATGCGTCCGTGTCACCTGCTTCCGCGGTCCCGAAAATAATGGTGTCGCCGACCCTGCCGATGCCCTTGAACTCCCCGTCCTTGGCATCCGCTTTGCAGCTGGCGTTGTGTTCGCCATCGTCGAGGGCGTCCCCGATCTAGTAGTGTTGACCTCGACCCGTGCCTTGTGCCCCGACAGCAGGATCGGGGCCCTCTTCTGGCGGCGTGGAAGGAGCCGCCGTCGTGGATGCCCAGAGCCAACGAATCGCCCACGGACTCTCCGACGACGACGACGACGACACCGACGCCGCCGACGACGACGACGATGACAACGACGACGACGATGACGACGCCGACGACGACGATAACGACGACACCGACGACGACGACGTCGTCAACGACACCGACGTCGCCGACGCCCTGCTTCTTGGCCCGCACTTCGAGCTTCATGCCATCGCGGGCTCGGGGCGGCTGCGCCCCTGCAAGTGCGCCGCCTTCTTCAGGGGCCCGACCTCGGGCCCGACAAGGGCTAGGAGGAGGAGGAGGAGGAGGAGGAGGAGGAGGAGGCGGAGGCGGAGGAGGAGGAGGCGGAGGAGGAGGAGGAGGAGGACGGGGAGGAGGAGAGGAGGAGGGGGAGGAGGAGGAGGCGGAGGAGGAGGAGGAGGAGGAGGAGGAGGCGGAGGAGGAGAAGGAGGAGGCGGAGGAGGAGGAGGAGGAGGAGGAGGAGGAGGAGGAGAGGAGGAGTTAGGGAGTTACGGATATTGCGACGATGTCGGTTACAATCAGGGCTTAAATCGAGAGGAGTGGGATGAGGAGGCGGAGGAAGAGGAGGGGGAGGAGCAGGATGATGATGATGATGATGATGATGATGATGATGATGATGATGATGATGATGATGATGATGATGCTGATGATGATGATGATGCTGATGATGATGATGATGATGATGCTGATGCGGATGCTGATGCTGATGATGATGATGATGATGATGATGTTGATGATGATGATGACGTTGTTGATGATGCTGATGATGATGATGATGATGATGATGCTGATGATGACGAGGATGAGGATGAGGAGGAGGAACGAGGGGCAGAGCGGGAAGAGGAGGTGGGCACCTGATGAGGATGGAGTATGAGTAGGACGACATTTGATGAGGAATTAAATCTCAGAAAGAGGAGGAGGAGGAGGAGGAGGAGGAGGAGGAAGAGGAGGAGGAGGGGGCGGGGTAAGTGCAGGGGAGGAGGAGAGAGGAGGAGGAGGAGGAGGAGGATGATTATGAGGTGGAGGAGGAATAGGAGGAGGAGGGAGGAGGAGGAGGAGGAGGAGGAGGAGGAGGAGGAGGAGGAGGAGGAGGAGGAGGAGGAGGAGGAGGGAGGAGGAGGAGGAGGTGGAGGGAGAGGAGGAGGAGGAGGAGGGAGGAGGAGGAGGAGGAGGAGGAGGAGGAGGAGGAGAAGGCGGAGGTGCAGGAGGACCCCCCCTCCTCCGACACCGCCGCGCCCCCACGCGAGGCTTGCCCCGCCTCGGGCGTCGCGGAGCTCGGCAGGGCCCGCCATGCCGAGGCTCCGGCCTGGCCAGCGGCGGCCCCGGCTCAGCGCGGCCTGGCCCTCGTCCTCTCCGGGGCCCCTCAAGCCCAGACTCGGTGGCGCGCACAGAGGGCGGGGGAGGGGGAGAGGCTTCTGAGAGGGAAGCTGTTTCCTAGAAGGCGCAGGCCCGACTTCTGTAGATGAGGCCCGCGCCTTCCAAGAGGCATCCTCCTAAGAAACCTTCCCCCCTCCCCCATGCCACGCTGTGCTCGCCGCCAACAGGCCCCCTCGCGTTATGAATAAATCACGGCGGGCATGCTTTGTCGCATGCTTCGGCCTCTGCGGGGCATTGCTGGGCCCCAGGACCGTCAAACAACCGTTCGGGATGAAAGGCTGGCCCCGAAGAATGGGTCGAGACCACTGGGGGGTCCACGCCACAAAAAATCATGACGTCGGGGGTCTGGGAGCCAGGGCATTGTGCCCAGCAGGACGCGGAGAATTCCGCCCGGAGAGAGAGAGAGAGAGAGAGACATATATATATATATATATATGGATAGAAAGAGGGGGAGAAAAATATGGAGGGAGAGAAAGCGAGAAAGAGAGAGAGAGAGAGAGAGAAAGAACACACAAAAACACAGAGAGAGAGAGAGGGAGCGAGAGAGAGAGAGAGAGAACAACAAGAGAGAGAGAGAGAGAGAGAGAGCGGGCAACAGAAAACGTTTCGTCGACCCGCGGCTGTCGTCTCCTCGGGCGTGCCGGTGCCCTTTAGTCTGTCCAACTCCCCAGACATGCGATGTGCATCCATTGTTTAAAGACGGGGCCCCCGGATGGGGAGACCAAAAGGTACCGATACCGCTACTCCCCGGACCTCTCCTGGGGTGCGTTCTGACCAGAATTTCGAGGCGAATCCAGCGGTGGAGACGAGGGAGGCCCAGGAGGCCCAAAAGGGGGAAACTGGAGGAGGTAGAAATATGGGTACCTTTTCATCCTCTGACCGGAAGCCCCGACCCGTTCCCCTGGGCCGTGTTCCCATCCCGAGCCGTTTTTTGTTGACGGCCCCGGGGCCTGGCGAAGAGCCCCCCCCAAAACGCCGAACATAGCCCGCGCCGCGCGTCGTGACCCTGTCGCGGACCGAAGGGGTCTGGGGCCCCAGAGAGGGACCCTGGGGACACACAAATAGAGACACACAAACCCCAGGATCCCAAACACTTTCCAAACTCTTCTGGGTTTTCGTCTACCCCCCGCTTCCTATATTTTCCTCCCACATTTTCCTGGGAGTCAACGATTAATTCTGTCTGCGTGTTTTCCCCTCCTCATCCTTGTTTATCCAGGCCCACGTTCAAGGCAAGACCAGTCCGCGCCACATCGGGAAATCGGATCGGATCTCGGAACGTGCCTCGACTCGGGCCACATCGGCTCGGCGTCGGGATCGAAGCCGATCGTCTGCGCCAGGATGTGCAGCAGCGCTATGCAAGCGTTGGGGATCCCAAAACCGTGTGGTGACAGACCGTGCGGTGACCTCGGACCCCAAGAGACCTCACCGCACGGTCTTGGGACCCTGGAGGCCCCTGTCGCCCAAGACATTCTCGGAGAAGGACTCGAATCCCAAAACCCTGCGGTGACCCCGAATCCCCACCGACTCACCACACGGAATGGTCACCACCCCGTTTGGGGGCCCCCGAAAACGTCGGGCCGCACCGCTTCGCCGGAGTATCGGGGTCGGATCGGATCGGATCGCGCCGGCTGGAATCGATATCGAATCGGATCGACATGGGCCCTGCCCTCTCCCCAGGAGGAGGAGGAGGAGGAGGAGGAGGAGGAGGAGGAGGAGGAGGAGGAGGAGGAAGAGGAGGAGGAGGAGGAGGAGGGGGGGGAGGAGAAGGAGGAAGGGGACGAGGAGGGGGTGGAGGAGGAGGGGGTGGAGGAGGGGAGAGGGGGAGGGGAGGAGGAGGCACAAACTTAAGCTGTTACGGGGGGCGATCCCATGAAGCATGCAGGAGGAGGGAGATCTCAGAACACCTCTCTACCTTTACGGCGACGTAGCCGAACGAGGCGACGAGGAAGGTGAGCAATAGCAGGCCCGTCCACGAGCGCTATACCAGGAAATCAAGCAATATCTCTGCCGAGCACACACATCCACACTGTAACCTCATACCCGCCGCAGGTGGAGAACCGTAGCCACTCGAAACAAGGACAACACCACCACAATAATATGTGGGATGTGACCGTGCCAAGCAGCTCAAGCCGTACATACACCACTGGCTTCGCCGAACATCTTGCCGACGAAGCCGCCAGGAAAACCGGAGGAGGCCTTACCGACCATCTTGAGGACGATGCCGGATGCCCTGCCGAACATCTTGAGGACGAGAATCCCAAGAGCCTGCAGCATGCGGAACAACTTTAGGACCTCGCTCGCTCGACAGATAGCCATCATGGAGCCATCGACGCGCGGACACAGACAGGGTAGGGTATACGTAGAGGCCATAGGGAACTGCAGCTTGGGCCAAAATGGCTTGAACCAAGGAGGCTTGAGCAAAAAAGCTACGGCGGAAGAGGAGACGGAGGAGGAGGAGGAGACGGAGGAGAAGGAGGAGACGGAGGAGGAGAAGACGGAGCAAAAGCAGGAGGAGGAG